AGTAAAAGCTATTTTAACTTTGCAATGATATATCTCTGTAGCAATTTTGAATATTTTAGTGCAAAATGGTTAGATATGTTTAAAAAAATTTGTACATGGTCTGAAGAAATCTATGGTTAAAAAAAATTAAAAACCTGTAAATAGATTTTTTGAGTGCCTATTATGATAAATAGTGTATTGTATGGATTTAAGTGAAATGTTTACAAAGCTTCGTTTCTAATACAATAAAGGGATATTTTTTCGTTCTTAATATTCACGAGAATAAATAGAAAATGATTGCAAAATCTTAACAGTATATTATCACAGAAGCAGAACGATACTTTACGTTATCCATCAACGGTGAATTCGAAGTGTTCCTTTTTCTAAAAAAAGCTAATTATTTTGCATATAGACTTTATATCGTTCGACGTTGTGCCGTTCGCGTTAAATTAAATTCATTCCCGTAAAAACAAGTACCGCTGAATCTCAAAACCGATTGATCGATTCGCAACCGAACTCACTCCTTTTAGGACCTAATGACACATATATTGAACTCGAAGCGACCCCAGCCGACGACACGATAAGAAAACAGTGCTCCATCGGGCACATCCTTTCAACCGATCGCATCAAATAAAAGACGTAAAAGGGGACAGAGAGGAGGGGTGTTCTTCGACAGAGGGCAGCCCGCGGAAGTCGCAGACGAGCGACGAGATTGCCGTAGGTCGTGAACCCTCGCGGGAATCTTTGGAGCAGATGTCGAACGCGGAAACGATCCAGCGGCCGGGTCGCAGCGCGAGAGGCTCGTTTCCTGGCGTTTCTGAGAGTCTTTACACGTATCCGAGGCCGCAGATGAAGATCTTAGATCGGAGACTGTAACGGTGCAGCCGCGCGCGTCCCATTTCCGCGATAATAATGCCGTGTCACGTGTCGCAGAGGAGGGAGAGACACGCTGCCGCGCCTTCCCTTCGCCATCCCCCTCTCGTTTCATCGCGGATGAGCGAAGCGCATTACACCGAGATGCATAAATAATGCGCCGGCCAACGACTATACGTCGGCTCACGTGTCTCCCGTTCAGCATGCTTCGCGAACTCCGTCAAACGTTAATTTTCACATTATAGGGAGATACATCACCCCGAATCGTTAAAAAATTGCTACAGTTTGATCATTTTTGTTATAGGTAAAATAAAAGACTTAGTCCTTCCAAGAGAATATAAATGAGCCGTTTATTTTGAAAGTGGCTTAAGTCACTTCACCGTAATGAAAAGTGGTGATTTTTTAATGTTTATACGAAATTATTTATACCGAGAATAATATCAGTATCCTGAGATAACAAATACAAGTAAATCTTCTCGAAAGTTAGCATCCATATTTTTAAACGTGTTAAAACGCAAACCCTTAAATATATCGACTTAAAAACAAAGTGACTTATGCCACTTTCAAAATAAACGGCTCAAATGTAAGATTCCAGCTTTGTTTTACGATTTTTTGACAGCGATAAGCGTACAAAAACGGCGGAGTTATCCGTTGTTTCTGAAACCCGTTCTCGTAGGACATTGTTTGCTTCAGTATATTTGAAATATAACGCTATCTGAAATAATATTTTAAACAGTCTTTACAATGAATCGAATATCTTATTCTCAAAAGTATAATTTTTCTAACAAGTGAGATATTATAATTAAAAAAAAAAATTATAATCTTCTCGAACGAGTAAAGTAATTTTATCTTAAAAAACGCGTGCACGACGTAAAATAAAATTATTTATTTACAGTTCCGATCGTAGACTTTGCGGGTGAAAAATGCAAAATTTGAAATAACGAATCGTTATCATTGTTTCGCACTTTTAAACCGTTCGGTACTCGTTGATTCAATGAAATGTTTTCACGTATATATTTCGTTCGGTCAACTACGCCTATGGGCGCGATGAATAATGACTACGAACGGACTTGTTTAGCCCGCTCTGTTTCACCGGACAATGCGAACATTGAAAAATTTTGTTAGACGAGGCAATTACCTGTCTGCCGCGCAGGGCGCACAACCACCACCCTTCGAGGCCGGCAGTATTTTGCTCGAGTACCGTGAGCACGTCGCCCTTTCGGAAAGCCAATTCGTCGGGAGCTTCCGCAATATTGTCGTAGAGAGCCCTTGCCTTCACACATTTCTGCTGCAACAGAAAAGTGAAATAATTAATGCACCGTCGATAACGAACGAAGAAGTTTCTGTCGGGTTCGCGGAACATTTATTGAAATATCAGAAGATTACCTCGATATATTCGGTGACCTAAGTGAAAACAAACATTTGTTATTATTTTATCGTGTTCGCTGCTGAATTATCAACGCCAGAAATACACAGAATCAAAGTGTCGACGATTCGATGAAAATAAAGCGGAAAAATGCTGTTCAACTCTTCTAATGCTTTTAGAATCTGTAAATTCCAATGAAATTAGCTTTAGGCAGATGTATTGTAACAAAAACGATCTGTTTTTGAAAATGTGCGAAGAATCGTGTCATCGTCGTATGTGACCGTTATGATAATTTTGTAGTTTTCTGTTGCGGCCGTTTCGTTCGCGCACACACACACACACACACACACACACAGTGACAGTTTAATTGAAATAATAAAACTAAATTATGTAATTAGAACGATTTAAATTGTGTTACACATGACAAATTCGCTTTATTTGAATTTCGTACATTATAACAATAGACACATATGAATTAAAATAATATTATAATACGTTCTTTAACACCTCGACATGAAAGTGATTTATTTTATAAAACAAAAACTGGATAAGGGGCAGTTCTCTTTCAAGTTTACTTTATTAAATGTGCTCAACCGATCGCATTGTTTTATGACAATCTATTAAAAATAACGCGAGTAAATCAATCGTAGTTGTAATTGCAATGTAATGAAAGAAAAGAAGAAGTACAAAAGGAAATGTAACGTGGCGGCGAATGTGCTGATTGCGACAAATTATCTTTTAATAGATCAGAAGATTCCGATGGTTTTTTGTTGATGCTATTTCGAGATGACGGAGAGCTTGAACACAGGATGGCGATCATTTAAGACGAAATGCGAGTTACAATGGCTCTCGAGGAAACCGCGTTCTATGTCACCCGTATTCAAGTGAGTTCAATTGAAGTGCCTCGGCGAGCCGACAACAATTTCCCCACCATTCATAATTTCGTGGCAAACAGTGATGTCACGCGACGCGCCCGATGACTATCGCCGAGGAAAACCGGCGCCCTGGTGGTCTTCATAGAAATTGATGCACTCGTTCGCCAGCAAAGTGGACGAATAACGGCGAACATTCCTTTTCTGCTGATTAAAAAGTCGATTCGTTTAACTGAATGAAAGCCAATGTGTGTCCCCTAATTCATTTCACATCTGGAAAGTGGACAGGACAATTCAATATTTACTTTTCCGAGTTCGAATTCTTGTTTGAAATACTTTCCCGATTATCGATCATTGTTAATCGATATTTGAAAACCCGAGTTTAATACAGTCAATGAATTCCATTAACGGATGATTCATTAATAATGACTGGACTGTGGATTTTTATGCAAAATAAATATTGCCTTAGCTAATTGTGAGAAACTTAAATCCCATAAAAATGTATTTCCTCCGTTAGTCAGTTTAATAAGTTTAATAAGTTAATATTCTTCAATTCTTCTAATTTCTTCACAGTTTTGTATTTAAACTAGTGATTTTAATTATGACACACGTCTTTTGCTTCGTTTACTTTTAGTTTTAAACACCGATATATCAAGAATTGATGTTTAATCGTTTTGACTTAATGTGATACTTTAATATATAAACATGTAACAAAGTACATGTACAAAGCATAAATAAATAATTTTTTAATAGATCGCTAGAGTGGGTTTAATAAATGTTAACAATTGAATTGTATCAATGGATAATATTAAACAATGATTGCATTGTACGTCTTCGGTCTCGAAACAAATTGCAACGTGTGCAATAAATTCTGATTACTGGAAAGTCAAAATATTAATTAGCGGTAATAATTATAGTAATATTAGTGCGTAATTAAGTTGTCAGGGGCGGTACTATCTTGTAAATTGATAAAGTGCTGTGCAAATTTCACTTAATTATTCGCATTAAAAAGCAGGTCGCAGAGGCGGTCGATTTAATTTTATGATAGCGACGCGAAAGTTACATCACAGTGACACATTTCCCAATGGAACTTGGGAGTACTTGTAAGATTGATTGTATCTGTTCGGTAAGTTTCCCGACTATTTTAAAAACATACGCAATAACTGCAAATTATTGATCGATATCAATAATATTAATAATATCAATGAATTTTGTTCACTCGACAAACAAGTATACCAATCTTACAGTTTAGTGTATTCTTCGTGTCTAATACAATTAATATACAACTGAATTCTCCGATTGGTCGAGCAAATGTAATTTAATTACGATATAATTTTATTCTCCGATACGAAACTATTTTCCTAAAATGAAGAAAATACGCAACCTCTTACAGATCTAAAAGAAATTCAATCATTTGTTTTTGATTAAATAAAATTGTTTCTGTCGCGAATCTTTTTCGAATGAAATAATTCAATCACTAAAATTCCCAAGCACGGAAAAATTCGCCTATAAAACAGAGAAGAGAACGGAATAACTAGAACTGCGATAGCTTATCGCAGTAGTGAAAGTGTCCGATAAGCGCAGATCAAGGAAGTTTCGTGTATTATTAGGACACATAAACGGACGAGCGGTATAAATCAAACCGACAGTATAATTACCGATTTCTTAATTGCCACGTCCTGTACACGGTATCCCCTTCGAGCAGCATCGATAATTGGCCCGCAGTTTCGTCACTCTGATTAATCACGGATTAACGACGACATTTCCGTTACGTTGACTGTGCGAGCCACGAAGTCGGACGAAAGCGTGGCCGGAGGTTTTAATCAAGAAGTAATTAGCACACGGCGCTACGTGAGTGACTGCGGCCGGCCAGCCAATCGAACGTGATCGCAAATTAATGTCGGATTAGCGCAAAGTAATACAGTTTATACGTTTCCTTCCCACGATGACGCGTTACGTACAGTAAATTCTTCCTAATTGATGCTCAGATTGTGTACAAAAATGGACAATTTGGGGAGAGGAGATAGTTACCGATTTTATAATTATATACTGGTTTTTATAGTTACAGATTGTGGACGATTATAAAAACGAGCCGCAAGGCTCGAATAATCGTATCTCCTCCTTCAAAATGGTTAATTTTCGTGCACAATCTGAGCGTCAATTAAGGAAAATTTACTGTATCGTGAATTTCGAATACAATGGCAATGACAAACAAGCACAATGACAGAAACCTTTAAATTCGACGTTGACTTTCGCACTAATAGTTACTTATGTTATTCATTTATTTATTAATGCTTCAATCCAAATTATTATTTAGTGAATTGTTGTTACTATCGATTACTATCGATTGGTTCTCCGTCTTTACTGTCCAGTGTAGAATCGCTAGACAACGTATCTTTACGTAAAGTAGAAGATATCTGCACGAATTGCAGAACATAGAAATCTAATGCAATGTTGTTTCTTTCTTAAACTATTTTAACCCTTCGCAGTGAAGCTATTTTAGTTCAAAATTCCAAAGATGTTTTCCGATCTACAACACTTTCATTTTATATGATTCAATGCAATTTATGCATATGACATAGTGTCTATTTGCAAGTCAATACTTGCAGTTTCAATAGTTTTCTAAATACAAACAAATCCGATACTGTTGAAATCATTTTGAAAAATAGTATAACAATTTTTAGTGGCGTCTCAGACTCACCCATTCGAGTGTGAATGGTTAATAAGTTGAAATTAATATACATCGACATTCTTAGTTTCCCTCAATATTTCCACTATCTCATACTATTAGATGCCTAAAGTCTGCAATATAAGGATCGCTCTTCGAATTCCTTCAATTCCAGAACAAAAGGAATGCAACTTTTTTGCAAGCAAACGAACGCAATCCCGTAACAAGCGTCGGGGACGTGAAATAAATTTCGTCCCGGACATCAAGGACCACCCCATCGTGCAGTCCTCGATTCCCAAAAGGCCCTCTAATGGGAATGTTAGGGAAAACGTATCCCATGTTTGGAATAACACCGCGCGACGGAGCTCTGGCACCGCATAGCGCGAGTTCGCGTGCATGCACGTTGAAATACGAGGACCCCTGGACAACGCCGTATCTACACACACCCGCGGCAACATGTTTGTGCAGGTGCATCCGCGGCTTGCACAGGTATGCGGTCCCTCCTCCTCGATGCAAACCCCCCGCCGCCCCTCGCGCGCACATGCGTAACAAAGGACGCATTATCAAGACACAATGACGCCGATTCGCTCGCTCACGCCCCCGCGACGCGAATTTTAATCGAATTAAGCAGGACCGGACCGATCATCGACGCTGCTTTCATCCGGATTAGCCAGGGTTAATGCGCCGACAATCGCGTTTCGTTAATGGCGTGCTATCCTCTGCACGAATCTTCGCAAGCCGTACCACTTTGTATACACACGCGCAGACTTGTGCGAAATCAAAATTGTCATCTGTCTCTGCATTATTATATTGTTAGAGAAGTTGTTCTGCTAATGCTTTTATCAATGATTCGGATTTATCGTCGCAAACAACTTTATCTCCTTACCGCTTGATCACCTCCAAAGCATTTTCATGTCGCATCGTGCTTTTTGATTCAGCATTTCTCTATTTGTACCTTTCATTGTGTACCGTCTCCATGTATACCGAGCATTGATACTGGCTGTTCTGTGCTGCTTTGTTAGAATGACAATGCTGAATTAATTTAGTTTCGATTCTTTCTAATATAATTTACACTGATTTATAGATTTATTCGAAAAAGCAATTACAGTTATCTACCTGTCATAAAACAATTGACGAATTACATTCTGGAGTGATTTCGACAATTTTATGGGTTAGATCTACTTCATGGGTGGATTATATCATGTTTCCAGACGTTAATGACCAAAACCATAATTCACGTCGTCCGTATTTCACATGTGCAATAATTTCGTTTGTCGTCATTCCTTCACAAAAATTTGTTAGAAATATTAGGTCTACCGGAAAGTTCTGTCCGTTTTTGAATTGAAATATAACACAATTTTCTCATACATTTAATAATATTT